ATATAATGCTTACACTTGAGCTGACATAAGTATATACTATAATTAATAAAAGATATGGACTGCTAAATTTTCACTTTAAAAAAGAATTGAAATATCAAAATCAATTTGAAAGACAATCAAAATAATTTACCAGGTCACACCCCTTCAACTGGACCAACCTTGAATGAAATTAAACAGTAGCTCTACAAATCAGAAAAGAATTAAACTGAAAACTAAGTCTCAAAAATATTTATCTTATAGCAATAACCTCGGATTATACTGATTGATAGAACTATGCTCAACATATATTTGCAATAAAACTTTGGAACCAGGAACTCCCCACAATACACAAATTATATAAAAGATTACCAGACTTATATAAAAACAGGCAATGTCTCAGTTGCTCAAGTGATGAAGACGATAATCATATTTTATCTATAAGTATCACAGCATAGACATATATAATGAAATCAATAACTGTATCATCAAAGAGATAAACAATAAAAGAAAAACCAACAGCTACCAAAAAGATATCATACATGAAGTATATATGAACATATAACAATTAAAAGTATAAATATTTAGAGAAGAGATCAATATGACCTTCAACAATCTTATCATAGATACTATAGGACAAGACAAACTGACAAATACAATCAAGTCAATAATTAAATATACTAAATTTATTTTATATTACATCTGGCTAGACAGATATTGCAGAATAACACTATGGTAAAAAATCTAAGATATAATTATCAAAACCAAAAATCAAAAATAAAAATATAACAAAACACATAACATCAAAAAGAAACAATACAAAAAAGCAATATGTAATTCAAAATAATATATTAAATGAGATAATTTTGGAAACACAAAATTCTTTTCATATCTTAATGGAAGATACTAACAAAGCTTAAGTACATTAGGTTTCTATAAAAGAAACAATATATCATAAGGGTTTCCATCAACCAATTAACTTTTTAGTAATATAGTAACAAAAAACATAAAAAAATAAGTCTGTAAAATTGCTTTACTAAATCAAGTAATATGTTGTGATATTATACTAATAAAGTAGGCTTGTTTCATCTTTTAAAAAAAATTAAAATATAATAAAAAATTATTATAAAATAATTTTTAAATAAAGAAAATCTAGTTTTAAAAGTTATAATCTCTTCTAAAAAAAGAATGCCAATCTAAGAAATAGATTGATCTAATATAATATCTTTTATTAAAAAAGGAAATCAAAGTAAAAGAACTTAAAACTACTGTATATTAAAATATTTCTTAAATAATAAGGCAACAGATCTTTTATTTATAAGTTATGAGATATTATATACTTGAATTTCAAAGAGAAATGACTTTAAATTTTTCTTGATTAAATACTCAAAAAATAAAAATAATAGTAATATCTATTTTATTTTCAGGTTAAAATTCTAAAAATAGAAATTTATTAATAAAGATCTATAGTTCTTATAAAAACAATCAGAAAATATTTTATAAATATCTTAATCAATTAATTAATAGTCCTATACAAATATTATAAATTTTAAAAGATTCAAACTTTACTAATTTATAAAAAAAAAAACCTATTTACCTTCTAAATATATTTTTTTAAAAAAATACAATAAAAGCTTATAATATAATAGATCTCTTTATATTAAGAAAAGCAATAGATCAAATTTGAATTTTTACACTATTAAGAAGCTTTTAATAAACTTATTCAAAAATAGAAGTTATAGTATTATTATACCCAATAGGTTTTTTAATTCAATAATAGTAAAAAATAATATAAAATAATCTTTTATTATTATAAAGTATTTTTATAACATTTTATTATATGAAATTCAAAAAATATTAATAACAGATATTCTATAAACAAAGAATAGTTATTTACTATAACTTCTATAAATATTATAAAATATTAAATGACCTGTGAATCAATAGTGCAGTGGATATACTCCCAGGTCACTATCCATGAGTTATTGGTTCAATTCCACTTGAAAATAGTTTCCACAATATAGATTATATTGTACAAGATGAATGCTTATTACCATATATATTTTTGTATTCATAAATAACCTATAAATTTCCATGTCTGACCATGATATAAAATTAGATCATCCAAGCCTTGGCTAGTTTTAGTGCTAAGGAAATCTTCGATAAATCTGCCACCTGAAATATATAAGAATCCAAAAACAAACCAAGAAAAAATACTGATTAACTCAAGCCTCTTAATGAATATGGGAAGAACACCTACCTCTTGTCAAAAATATATACTATAGGAGATAAGGGAGACTTTGATTACTTGTACTTGTTGAAATGTAATGGACCATAATAATAATCAATGGAAGATCTCTATGGTTATGAAATCAATGGCCATCAAAGAGGACAGCTATTGTAAAAGCTGATAATTAGTATTAATGCCACATTAGAAACTGCAAAAATGGACTAAAAATTTAAAAGAAGTAATTGAGAAAATAATAATCAAGAGAAACCTTTGTAGGTCAACTTGAAAAAGTTAAAAATAAGGCAATGGAAGACTATATGCTACTCAATTACATGATATTAATGAATTACCTGGATATCAAAAACATAACTAAAGAATTGCACTATTCAAGTTTCAATTAACCTGCAAAGAATCCAAATATAGTATGAATTATTCATGGTACCTATAATTATCAAATGGTAAAATAAAGCTTACAAATAAATACACAATATATGTATCATGAAAATTAATAATATAAATTCTATTGTGGATCTTCAAAAGGCTATAGTTCCAGATAGAGCAGGGCAACAGACAAAAATAGTATCACTATATGATAAGATTTGATGGACTGACTAGGATAGGTAGTTTAAATAAGGTTATATAAATCACTTATATAATTTAAAAATGTACTACTGAAATTTCAATAAAGATTTGTCCTATCAGTTGGACTAGTTAAAAAAAAAATTAAAAAAGTTAAATTCTTTTTAAAGCAAGTTATAATTGTCTATATAAATAATATAACTTAGATTAACAAGTTTAAAAAAAATCTAAAATATATTTTAAAAAAGAAAAACAGTTTTATATAGTTAATAACTCTTAAGTAAATGTTGAAAAATTAATTATTCTCATTATTAGTTGGGACTTCCAAGAGTCTGAAACTGTTTAGGCTAGAGTTAAGAGTATTATAGTTCAAGAAATTTATAAAAAAAATCAAGCAAGATTTTTTTATATTTGATAGGAGCTTAAGTAAAACAATAAAAATATTCTTAATTTAATAAAATTAGAAATTAAAACTATTATTTAAGCAATAAAAAAGAAGTTAAACAAAAAGTATACTTATTAAATTATAAATAAAGTTTTTATTTTATAAAAAAAAATATATATAAAATACAAAATATAAATCTCAATAAAAAATTTGCAACAGTTTTATAGTTATACAGTCTAGTTCAAAAAAAACTGGATTTGTTTTTTTTATTATATAATAATGGTTATATGGAATTATATGAACTTTTATTTATATGTAGTTTAGTAAATATATTTTTAAAAAATAAAGTTTAATATAAGATATGCTTCTCCTTATTTTTTATAATTAGTTTACAATATCTTCTTATTGATTAAATTAATTCTATTAGAACAAATTTTGATATTTTTTTATATTTTTCACCCATATACTATTCCAACTTATTCTGATTTTTTAACATATGTTTCTCCATGTTACCCTTGATGATACCCCATAGGTTTTCTATAGGATCCAAATTGGGACTATTTAATAGTCAATCAATAATGTCTGATATATTTTTATCAATAAAAGCTTTTGTCAAGCAACTCATATGCTTCAGATCATTATTTTACTGGAAGCACTACTCATTACCAATAATATTTTTAATCTTTGAAATATGTTTCCAAATAATTTCAATATAAAAACTAGCATTTATGATTTGTTGAAAAAAAAATAAAATTGATTTTTCTCTAATATAAAACTCTTTTCAAGCTAAAATCTTAATCCAACTTTTCAATATATAAGAAATTGGTCATGTGCTCTTGTTGATAGTGAATTATCCCTATGAATATACCACTCAAATGTTTGTGAAAAAACTTCGTCAATCTTTTTTGACCAGTTATTTCCATTTGAATGCTTCTTAGAACTGACTTTTTTAAGCTTTTTTAAATCTTAATAAATAGTTAAGAGAGAAAAAAAACTTTGCAAGTATATACATATTTTTTGCATTAAATATATATTCATCCCACAATTGTAATAGAATCTTACATTGATATTTTTTTCTTTTGACTGACATTCAATATCTCCTTTTTACAAAACTAACTAAAGATTGAGAAAATATTAACTGGTAATGTAATATACAATCCTTGATTTCCTTTTTTTATAAAAAATTTTTTAATTGGATATCAACTGCATGACTTATAGAAATTTTCTAAAAAAAAAAATTCTGGTTTTTTTGGACTAGACTGATATATTGAAAGGAATTCAAAATAAAACTTTAATATATAAAACAATATCAAATGGTTACATTACAATAAAGAAATACATAAACTTAAAAGTATTTAGAAAATATAGCTAGAAAGTTATACTTAATAACAATAATATCTCTGATATTACTACTATAATTTATCTAAAACAAAATCCAATCAAATATTAAAAGTCTAAAAATACTTTAGACAATTTTATAGAATCAAGTAGAAAATTTCACTGCTATAATACTAGCCTTGATCAATAAGTTTTAAATTACATTTTAAAGTTGAAGATAAAAGAATAACTTTAATTATTAGATAGATATACTCTATATCAAATCAATTTTATAAGATAATAAAGAATATAAAAAGGTTATTCCATCCTTTAGAAGATATAAGATTATGTTCTTAAATCAACTAATCAATGCCACTATAATGACACTTAAAGATTATTAAAGATGGTTCACCATCGAAAAATCATTTTTCAATAAGATGAAAACCCTAAACATAAGATAAATTTAATAAAACAAAGAGCCTCCAAAATTTTCAGATTTAAATCCGATTGAGCATGAGGTTGATCGTCATCTTCGCCATCTTCCTGAACCAATTTCAGGACTTGTGGAACAAGATTCAACAGGTTTGGGGGCAGAATTCACTTTATGCTAGAAAGAGTTTGTGACGTCATAAAGGCACGGGGTGATTATACAAGGTGGTAAGGCTGGATCGGGTATCTAAATATAGACAAATGTATAATTTGCAGAATAATTTAATTAAGAATCAGCGTTTTTTTTTTATTAAATAAAAAAACGATACTATTTAGCGAAGAGAACCTATTAGAAAAAAAAACTCAATTTAACGAAAAAAAAATTGTGTTTATGATCGCCACTGTAAGTTTCAGGCACAGTGAATAGAAATTATATTCTTATGCGCATGCGCAGTGATGGGCAGGTATCTATATGCACTCAGAACGTTTGTGTGAGATCGGGATGATATCATGGGGCTGCGATAAAATATACACGGGAGTTTCAGAAGTGTCAGCTAGTAGGGCATTCCATTAAAGTTCAACTTTTTTCATCAATAGTTGCGATCGTCACGAATCATTAGACGAAATGGTGATAGCGTAACATACAGTATGTTAAATAAATTATTGAATTAATATGATGATGCCAGCCCGGCGAATCCACGCGTTTGCTATAAATCCTTTGATACGAGGATCTTTTTCATTGTCCATCCTCGTCTTGTTTGGTCAAAGGTTGTTTTCTACAGCTGTAAGTCCAAGAATGTAATGTCCCGGCGGAAGGTAAGTTTCTTAAAGTCTATTTAGAGTCTATCTCTAACGTCATTGTTTTGTCCCTGTATGTTCAAAACTCTATTTACAAACTTCTAGAACGTCACGGGTGCAACACATACATTTGAACGGTGTCATGCTAAAACGTGGAAGTCGATGATCATGACAATCACGATCTTTTCTAGGTCTTAACTTCCATTATTGGTAATACTCACGGGCTTCGAAACCCAGGGATTATTCCTTGTGCGATCATATCTTCCTTGGCTTTTATCATTCTTCAATTCCCGGGGCGGATTGATATGCCGATGGCTTTGTCAATGCGATTTCTTTACGCCGCTTTGACGGCTGTGAAGTTCGCGCCGGCGAAAAGGTATTGATTGTTTCCATTACTTCAGGCTCTATGGTAAGAATCCACTAGCATTTATATGACCCGTTTCTTTTACAGTGGTTGCTTCCATCACTTCAGTAAGGGTCGGCAGTTCTGTTAATTCTTCGATCTTGGGGGGAATCGTGAATTTGGACTCTTCATGGCAATGACGAGCTCGACTTTCAAATGTCTTGTTCTTCGCCAGTCAGGTTTTTGACGTAATAATAGTAATGGGAAATATGTGCATTATGCGCATGGAAACTTGGACATACTTGCTTAAATATGTCTGATATTTTAATAAAACATATACACGCATTATGCGCATGAAAATTTAAAAAATTATCTCTACGTAGTACCCCTTAAGGTCCTCATCTCGTGAAGCAGCTTTCTGTTAACTTGCTTTCTTCTGGATCGGCTGCGGTAGCATACGAGGGAGCAAATTTTACCGATGATGGTGCTTACTTTTTGGTTACCGTTCTCGAGTATACATCCGGCGAAGGCTCGGGTTGGGGTTGCGAACAGTTTCGTCCAAAATCGATTCGGTTGGAACTGTTCCACGGAATAAGCTTCAAAAGTCCTCCTCAACGAGTTCACCGTGATGGGTCTTAGTATTACGAAGGGTGCGGGATGGTCTGAGTCTCTGTTCGGAGTTGGCGTCCGATCTTTACGTCAAGCAATCCGCCCTTGTTCGTCGCATTTATAACGGGTGGAGGCCACAATTTAATGAACCGGCTCGGGTGTGCACACGGACCCAATTATTTACAGATTGTTACCGGTGGCCTCTCGTAGGACTGCTCTCAGCTCTGAGAATTGTTTCCACAGGGCTGTTACAGAATATAGTCACGGGTATCATACTCCCGCGGTCATATCTTCGTTGCTAGTCTTGGAATATTTTATCTATAGTCAGACTAAATCATTCCTAACATGTTGTAAACGAAAAGCAGATGAACCATTGATTGTTAAGAGGCACTGAAACAGTAAAAACTTCACATATTGAGGAGAAATTGAGAATATTAAAAGAAATGCAAGTCATCGAGCAATCTGGTAGAAAAATCGAAAGAATAGATAGAAACAAATCTGTGATCAATAGATTATTTATTGTATAAAATGATTTCCGGATTCGAAATTATGTGAATAATAATTAAAAAAATGTCTAAGCGATAAAAAAAAAAAAGAACTTATCTTTACCATTATCAATTATAGTGAATTTAAAACAAGTTCCGGTACTAGTTTAAGTTGATGGTGTTTTGTTCTATTAAAAATTATTCATACTAAGTTAATTCCGTTATATCGAATAATCATTATATCGTATCGAGTTTAACTGTAATTATTAAATTTTTTTTTCATCAAAGAAACCTTCGATGAAATGCAATATAGTATATAGTCCAAAAATGGTGCATTTATATATGCTCTATATTTGTACAATAATAGATATACAGTATTGGTCACCTGATTATATTTTATAAGGTGCACCCGAGTTTCATTATTATTTTTAATTTATTTCGTAAACAGGTTGAAAATTTATTTCGTGGAGGAAAGGAAATACGCAGAATCGAATTTTTATCTATAATGAAATATAGAAGCTTGACCTATTTACATGGGGACATTTCTGAAAATTAGGAACAGATGACAAAGTGCCTTCGCAAATTGAATGAAAAAGTTTCAAGTGCATCTTTATCATTTCCAATCGAAATGCGTAAAGGTTATACGTACAGTATAAGTGAATACATTTTATGATGAAATGGAAATTAAATTTCCTTCGTCCTACATTTAGCGAATTGAACGTAAATAATATTTTATAAATAATAAAATAATATATTAAACTGTATATAATTTACTGTATGATCCATAACTAGTTGTTTAAAGGACTGAATGAGTAATATGAGTACTTTAGAACTACAAAGATTTAAACAGGACCATAATCGACTTTAAAACTCGAGACATTGCGCCCCCAACCGGCATCCAGTCGTTGTATATTATCACAAAATCTCACCGAATCCCCAGTACAATTAGAACCTCTAAAAAGTGTGGTGCAAACGTAGGAGCTTGCACATATATCGCCGCAATGAGTACATGTGGGAATATCGAGGCATAGTGCATGTGTCACACAACCACTAGTAGTATAAGTATCTAGGTTGTCATTAACCGAGGTTCCGGTCAAATTAACACACTGTCCGGGATCCAAGGAAACCCAGAATCCGAAGTCAGAGCGATCATATCCTATTATTTGTGAAGAAATTTTAAATGGTCCCGGTAGGCAAACACTATCGCAATAGGCAAGTGAGGAAAGCTGTGATAGAAAAAGAACCCGATTATTAGGTGTTAAATATTTTACGATATTATGTAAAGAATTCTTACTGTAATTATAGTCATTAATATTATAATAATCTTTGACATGTTTTCTTAAATGTAAAAAAATTTTTTTTTTTTGAAAATGATGCATTTATATAGCGATTTTGAATAAAATCTGTCCGACTGTATCAATAAATGGGGACAAATTCAAGTCTAGGCTCAAAAATTTAATTTACTTTTCACGCGGAATCAATATAATCAACCATACCTTTTAAAAGTGATTTTCCGAAATTGTTTATTTAGTATGTGCATTAAATATTATCTGCGTTGCACAAAGACAAAAAAATACCAAAATAAATATCCCGAAAAAATAATCGATCAGAGTTACTAACACCAATTCTATCTTTCAATAAAACTCAACACGCTACACCTTTTTGAAAATGACAAAGATTGCATTTAATTACTTTTCTGGAAAGATTGATTTGGTATTCGTTTTATTGGTGCAACAAAGGTTATCTGTGATGCGCAAAGACTATAGACATCATTCCGTGGTTAAAATAATATTAACATTAAATATTTGTAATGTAATTAATTTAATAACTGTAGAAACTGTCCCATAGAGATAGAAAATGAATAGTTGTTTCTTATTTGTGTGTACAATAATGGTAATTCTGTCGCCAACAATCCCAGTTAACGTACTGTAACTCACAAAAATCCTTTAAACCCCCCAAAAAAATCAATCAATCACTCAAAGGAGAGGTGTAGTATAATTTTTGAAGAGTCCTTTATTAGATATTGTTTTTCCCTATCTCATATTAGCAAGAAACGAACCAAGAACTCTATGGATTTTACTTGTCTTTTTATACTTTCTAATTTTAGTTATTACGTATCTAATGCTCCAATGTTTAAGGAGTTACGTATATAATGCTCTCATGTTTAATAAGTTACGTTATTATTGCGATTTATTTTTACCTAACTTCGATTGTTCTTGTGGCGCTTACTTCACGCAAGCTTTCGCCATTTTCTATTATTTCTATATTACGAGCTTCCTTGGGCCAAGCACGTAAGATCTTTGTTTCTCTTATTACATAGTAAACATGTCCAAATGTTTTCTCGCCATAAACATCTAACATGATGAATCCATTTTTACGCAAAAAAAAAAAAGTCTTCGAGTACTGAATCAATGTTGTAAATTATTTACATTATAAATTTCCGCGGTGAGTACAGAGCGTAATCTTCGGATACCGAATCAGATTTATTTACTGTAGTTTTTGTTTTGAACTTTGGATGGTGAATCCTCGGATGGCGTGTGACGACTTATATATGAATTTGCAATTTAACGTTGCAAATACGTAACCAATTTTTTTTAAAGGAAATATAAGGCGAGTACGAAGAGGGGCCACGATTGGCACTAAAACTTGATTCGATGACACCTCCATTCATTATTCATATTAAGATTCCCGCAAAAATTAAACGATTCCTCAATGTAGTTAGTTCCCTTAAAAAGTGTGTTGTAAACGTAGGAGCTTGAGCAGTATATCTTCGCAATGAGTACATGCAGGATTATCAAGATATACTGTATGTGTTACACGAACATTAGTACAGTCTCCACGAAAAGTATTGCGGATGATCAGAATAAAAAAAATAAACGATTCTAATTTATTCAATGGTCATTTATAATTTAAACGAAAAAATTTCTATCTGTAGCATACTACGAGTCTATCGATACCACTCACAGTTCGCGTAACTTTCGTGTGTGCCTGTAATCTATACAAGAAAACAACACACAACAGACAAATAAAACTGGTGAGACGTGTAAAGATTTGGGCGAGTTCATTGGAACTTAGAACACTATATAATACGAGCCAAAAGCTTTTTTTTTATCTACAAGCAAAAACGATCTTACTGAAACCAACTACGATAAGAGCTTAAGTACTATGTCACGATGGCGCATTATTGTGGTCATGTCACGTGATCTTGATCCGTTTTTATTAGAAAATCAATTTATTAGCCTAATATCATTATGTAGTCTTTATCTATTGCATATCTATAAAAAAACTCTTTCCCGCAGATCCTTTTTTCTTAAAAATTTCCTTTTTAGGCAATCTTGGGAAATAAGAAAAAAAGTGAACAGAAAGATGAGATCACAGAAGCTCATATACCCAGGGTAGACCCAACTACAATGAGAATATCTTGGCAAAAAGTAATACAAGATCTCTATACAAAGAAACCCATATGGAGACAACAAAGTTGAATCCAAAAAACAAAGAAAAAGAAAGAAAAACTTCTCTAGAAAATGCTAAAAATAAACAGCCAAGGAATCAAAATACAAACTAGCTACAATCTCAAGTACAGAAATTATCAGAAAAAAGAAAACCAATCAAAAACAATCAACTTGGAGTAATGAAATGAAAGAAACAATCATACAAGACACATAAACGGACAAAAGCAACAAAAGCAAAAATATCCAAAAAAATGAACAAAGTAAGAACTCTTTTGTCACATTCACAGCAGCAAGAATAGATGACTTAGACATAGAAATGGAGGAATCAGGTACTAGCGACCAAACAAAAATTGAATTCAATGAGTAATAATAAAAAACTTCCTATAGAAATGTACTAATTAGCAAAGTAAGTAAACCCAGACCAAGATTATTTATTGATTCAATGACAAGATTTGAAAGGGAAAGAATTAAAACAGACATCAAAGCATCAAAAGTTTCAGGAAGAACTATCAACCAAAAGATAACACACATTACAAAAAGTTTAAACATACTCACCGGTCTTCTTTCTACTTGTAGTGAAGAAAAAAGAGAAGAGAAACATATCCTTGCTATTTTCAGTGATTATTATACTGCAGAAGAAACATGCAATACTATCTTACTTGAAATAGATGGGACTTATCTTGAATATATAGCTTTCACATCCTTTAGACTAAATAAGGAAAACAGTATCAGGATATGTGATATTTCCTGAAACAAAATTCATAGAGGTACAATAAACCTTTATCAAATTTGGAGAGATTATAAACATCGACATATCTAAACAATAAATGTGGCAATCAGCAGTTATCACTTATGCAAACAAACAGGTTAAGGAAGATCTAGTTATCAAATGAAGTATTTTGTTACAATCAGACTCAATCAGAATTTTTGATGCATAATTGGACACGAATTAAATGAAAACACATGGAAATATTGCAATCCAGTTAACAAACCTCTCACCCAATATCACCGTCTTCAACCTCAGACTAACATGTGAACAAATCAGAACCAAGACATGCTACATTCCTAGGTATATGTCATATAGACACAAGTGATTTGCAATTATTGGCTTTACGAATCAAGAGGACCTGGAAGCAGTAACAATACAGAATGTTCTTCTTGGAAAAATTCAAGCAGAATGGAAACCAATTGATACAAAACTTTGTACCATATGTGGGAATAAAATACACTTAGTTACTCAGTACTCAATCAAAAAAAGAAGAATACAATGGAACCATTATAATGCAGAACAAGTCAACAAATTCGATAAACTGCATAACAGGTTCAGGCCAGTACGTATTGAAACTATAAGGATAAGGGCAACCATATTCAACAACCAAAGGAAGGTCAGGCCAAACTCCTATGCAGCAGCAGCAAGACTATCCAAAGAAATGGAGACACATTCTCATCTCCCTCAA